GGAAGCATATTTTGTTTTCTCTAGAGATATTACCTAACAACTCATTGTTTGTAGACAAGAAATCGTCGAGTCTATGATTTGGCGGTCTGTAAACAATACCAACAATTATATTTTTTTCTCGAGGTCTTATTAATTCAATGAACAGTGATTCTACAGTATCAACATTATGGAGGGACAAATCTTCTCGAAGTTTGAACTCTAGATCGTTTGAAATATAAAGCCCTACCCCACCTCCAGTTCTATTTTGCCTATACTTGTGCAGAAATTTGAAACCATTAAAAACCATTAAGTTACCCGAAGGTAATGATCTTTCATGTTGAGTCATGTTTGATATTGACTTTTTTGTCATGTGTACCAAGTCTTAATGGAAAGGTTGCCGCTAGGAGCCCATCATTGATGGGCTCCCTGTGTCGCTGTGTTTTTGTCGATGGAATGAACTTCAAAAAACATTTCATGTGACAACAGAAAAAAATTGCCTGCCTCACTGAAATCTGCAAGAATCAAATCTTATTTATTTCATTTTTTTAAGATTTCGTTTCATTTCATTTCATTTCAATTTCAGGATATGACGCCTTGCGCACCTTTTTCTTTTTCTTAACGTATTTTTGGCTCTGATGCGGTTGCTTGCTAGTTAGGGAGCGTTGCGTGACGAGACAAAAATGACGGCGTAGCATTTCAATGTATAACAAGTTCTAGTCTAATTCCTCCCCAAATCACTGCTGACTCATACGCGGCAATTTCATCTTTTTTTTTTAACCCGAGGCTCTACATTAAAACGTTTTAAAATGTATACGTAAGACAGAATTTAAATATATATGATCAAAAGGAGAGGGGACTGGAGTCCACAGAAAACAACCCCCACCCTTCCCTAGAAAGCAGTTTGTCTACAAAAACAGTATGGCGAAAAGCGCAAAAGCGAAAAGTTCCGCTGTCCGCGATGATTCGTTCGAAATTCTCAGAGTTGGCGCTATGGAGGACAATGATTATTCGCGCTGGATGGAAAATCTACCAAATGAGAAACAACTATGCCCTTTAAAAGATCTTGTGATACCAGGATCGCATGACTCCGCTACATTTTTTCTCGATCAAGACATGGAGATTGGCCCCGATGAATCTCCCACGATTCAAATGCTGGGAAGCGTTTTCGGAAAAGTGGCAAAGTCTGTAGTCCATAGTTGGTCCGTTACGCAGTCTATGTCAATCTACGAACAGCTTTTGTCAGGAATCCGCTATTTGGATCTGCGAGTTGCGTACAGAGCCCAGGATAAACAGATCCGAATTCTTCACGGTCTGTACGGCTGGACAATCGAAGAAGTTTTGGCAGAAATAAACAGGTTCGTGGAAAAATATCCTAAAGAAATTGTCATTCTGGACTTTAATCATTTTTACAACATGGACCCGGCGGCACATGAGATGCTAGCCGATACTTTACTTGCTTCATTCAGTGAAATATTTCGCGCTCCGGGGGAAGACGGTCCAGACGTGACGCTACAAGAAATGTGGGGCAATGAAGAAAAAGTCATTATTATATATCACGATTATGGCGTGATCGATGCCTACCCCTGCTTTTGGCCTCCCCATTTAATCTGCTCCCCCTGGCCAAACACGGCGGACAGAAAACTCTTGATGGAATTTCTTAACAAACAATGCGCCGTGAGCACCTTTTCTGAAGATGCCTTTCAAGTGACGCAAGCTGTCCTTACACCTCAGACATCAACCGTGTTTCAGAATATGACAAGTACTTTAAAAGATGTGTGTGCCATGAAGTGCAACTGTCACGTCACTGGGTGGCTGAAGGCACTGTGTGGAACCAAGTGTCACAAGTTTAATATTATTATAGCTGACTTTGTTGAATTTGGAGACTTCATCCCTACTGTTATAAGTTTAAACTATTTTTTCTAGGGTTTCTATGGTAACCAGTCAAGCATTCCTGGCTAGCCTGAATTTTCCAGGCCTTTCTTTGTGCAACCGCATAAGTCATGACTTAAATCTCCCTTACATTAATTTCTTCATTCTGTGGTTCAAGTGTATGAAATATTCATATATTCATTACTTCTTCTTCACCTTTACCAGCTATATTACAAACCATTTTATGACCAGCTCTCCGCTGGCTTTCTAGCTCAATTGGTTAGAGTGCTACACTGGTATCGCAGCTAGCAGTGGCGGGTCTAGACGGACCGAGGCCCAAAAGGCCGAAAAAAAATTTTTTGGAGACCGCCCCCCCCCTTATCTCAGGGCCTGGATGACCAGTCCCCCCCTTATCTGAAGGTCTGGATCTGCCACTGCCTAGTATGTCAGGAATCGAATCCTGGCAAGCCTGAATTTTTTTCAGCAAAGCGAAAATACGACGTGTGCGACTTGGGAAAGGGGGCGGTGGCCTTCTTCAGCCTGCATGCATTTTTCGCAGTTACTTTTCACTGAAAGAATTTTCACCACTATCTTGGAGCCTGGAACAGGCTAAGCTTACGTGGGAAGTAAAGAGTGTGAAATTGAAAATGAAAAATGGGAAGAGAGGACCTTAATTTCTTGGAATTGTCAAGTGTCACAGGGTTTTCATTAAGAATTCCACTTAGCAGTACTGCAGCAGAAAGATGTAATATCACAGGAGAATATTTTGTAAGAGGCTCCATGTCTGAATAAAAATAGTCATGTGCTACCAAATGTTAGCCAGAGAATTCAGCATAGTAATCGGAGAATTCTCCGATCTCCGATGCCTAATGAATAACCTGAGTGTCACCCACTCTAAAATATATGGGCTCCTGGTTAGTTCAAACATTGGTTTTTAGCAGTTTGAATTAATCCCCCTTTGAAAGGGTTGTCCCACACAAGAAAAGCATCTTTTTATGTGCAGTCTTGATCTTTTAAACTGAAAACATTATTTTGATTATTATTAATAACCAGTAATAATCAATAATAACAATATTATTAATCAATAATAATAATATTAATAATGATAATACTATTTTAATCAATAATAATTAACAATGACAAATAATAATAAATAATTATTTATGCAGCTATTGTGTGATAAAGACAGGCCAGCTCTTCTTTACAGACGTGCTTATGAATATTTATTGTTGAAAGTTTCATTTGAATTTGTTTGCTGAGCCTGCCAGAACATACACTCATTTATCGTTTCAGAAGTTTCAAAAAAAATAGAATGAGCGACTAGCTGGTTGGAGAAGTGTTACGAAATGCATAAACAAGGTTTTAACAAATCTTTTTTCAGGAAAAAAGGTTGCCATTTTCTCCCAACAAAATAGCTGAAAAATGGTACTCTTCATTGGTTTTTGGTGCTCTAATATTAAAAGCATTTCCATTGTCTTTGTTTATCAAGAGAGGCTTTTTCCATCATTAATTTATTATAATGTATTGTTAGATATTTGAGAATAAAAAAGATCTGACTTTCAGAGCATTGTCACTTTAATTCATTCCAGTCAGTTTCTAAAATAAGGCACCCATCAATACTAACCTAACACACTTAGATAATCTGGCTAGGATGCACCCAACGTTGCTACCAGGGCCCTTGTAACTAGGCCCAAGGAGGAGATTGGAAGGCACCCCCATCAATGCCTCAAAGTCTGACCGTCTTGACTCCTGGTCACCAAACATATCCCCCACATCTTGAGAATTAATTCGCGTTCGGTCTCAACCTGCTCCTCTAGAGTGTACTGCGTGTACCAGCTGTACCTAAATAAACCCCCTTCCTCTACTGAAAGTTTCCACCACAAACAGCTGATTGAGTGAAAACAATATTTTCCTTTGATGGGGTTAAAAGCGGTGAAATGAGTAGCCACTGGAAACTCCTCGAATACAGAATCTGGGTTTGCATTTTTTGTTACCAAAAAATAAGTAAATAGCAATTATATAAAAGGAAACAATTTTGAGGGTATTACCTCATCAGGCCGATTTAGATATGATGTCATCACAACCTTTGTCACTTACCCATCATGCAGCGCAAAAGAGGAAAATCAGTTAGCGGTAGGGAATGGCGGGCAATCTAACTTCGAAAAAGTCTGTGAGTCTTAGTCTTACTTCTCAATATGCACCTTCGTGGAAAACGTGGGAAGGAATCCGTGAGCTTGTACAAAACTGGCACGATGGAGTGTTTTCTTCACTGGAGAAAATGCACCTCGATTGCAGAACGGAAATGTTGCCAAGATCCTCGGTTGCTTTCCTGTCTTGCAAACAGGGCGATTCGTTAGTGTATAAAGCAGTTCTCACAACAGCAAGAAACTCTTTCTTTTATGAAGGAATGACGAAGTTAAATAGCAGTTCAGATGATTTTGAATCTGTCAATGGCGAGTTTGATCGAACGTTCGAAAGTACACGGGACCAGCAGCAACGAAACGTGGTACTGGGTAAAATAGTGTATTCTCCCTTTCGCAAAAAACTTATCCTGGTAAACTACAACACTGAGCTTATGAGGAAGGTCTTGCTTCTAGGATTTTCGAAGAAAGCTTCAAGCAAAGAAGTGATTGGTCAGTTTGGTGAAGGCCTGAAAGTTGGTGCTCTTGCCTTAGTGAGGGAGGGGAGATTTGTTTCCATGGAAACCAGTAGAGATCGCTGGAAGTTTGGCCTGTCGTGCGATGACACTTTTAACGAAGAGGTTCTGACTGTTTTTGTAAAGGATCGGAGTAAAGGATTTGATGATGATGATGATGATGACGATGGT